ACTATTACAGAAAGAAAATACGTGTTCGAGAAATTTGATGGAAGAAGGAGCTTCAACCTTTGACAAGTTTGGATGCGGGATTTACTAATTCAGCAAGGTTTACTAGAAGCTTTGGGTAATTAAGAAACTGGAAAAGATAGAAGATGCAGGTTGGGAGAAGATTAATTCGAGGGCAACGAGTGCGATTTGATTGACGTTGGCGGATGATATTGTGTATGATGTGATAGAAGAAGATTCAGCAGCGGACATATGGAAGAAGTTAGAGAATTTTTATATAGGAAATAATCTCACCAATCGGTTAATCTTGAAGCAAGAATTGTATTCCTTTAGGAGAGAAAAAAAAATTAAAAAAGGGGTAAGCCTACAATATCATATTGGTAAGTTCAATAAAATTATTTGTGATTTATCTAATGTTAATGCCAAGTTAAGTAATGATAATAAAACAATTATTTTGTTAACATCAGTATACTCTACCCATAAATATTTATTCAATAATTTGCTTTATGGGAGAGATACCATCCCAGTAGAACAAGTTAAGAATGTTTTGTTTTCTACTGAAAAATTGAATAATGAGAGAGTTATGATGCTCAGGCTCAAGCTCTTATTGCTTAAGAGAATAAGAGATTTGGAGCTTCAAGAAATTTTATGCCATTGTCAGAGAAAATATGCTACAAATGTGGAAGTAAAAGGCATATTCAGTGGTATTGTTTGGAAATAAAACAAAGTGCATCCACTCATATTATGGTGTTTGAGAATACAAAAGAATGTAGTTATAATGATAAAGTACTATTAAACATTAATGACAAGGGAAAAGCTAGAGAGTGGATACTTGATTCTATTTGTTCCTTTCATGCATGTCCTTGTACAAAGTGGTTTGCTACATATAAATGTGTGAGTGGTAAGGTAATTATGGGGAATAATGCTTCTTGTATTGTTATTGGAATTGGAATAATCAAAATCAAGACAACGAATGGTTTTGCAAGAACTTTAATGAATGTGAGTCATATTACAAATGTTAGAAGGAATGTGATCTTTGTGGGAGCATTGGATTCCAAGGATTGTTGGTGCGAAGTGAATAATGGATTAATGAAGATTAGAAGAAGACCACATGTTATGCTTTTGAGAAGGAATGTCAATAATCTCTATATATTGTTGGGAAATACTATGCTAAGTGGAGCAATTGCAAAGACAGAATGGAAGCCTGTATCCAAATCTGCTAAATTGGAGGATTAAGAGAAGGAAAAAGTATTGGCAATTGCAAAAGCACCAACCTTTATTCCACAAGCAGGAAGAGTTCGATTTGGTGATGCGAAAGTAGATTCCATGTTTAATTATTTAAACTTGGAATTTGATAGGAATAGATGAGTGTGGCGGAACGACGAAAAACGACAACAAAAAATAAGATGTTAGATTCAAGATGGAGAGATCTTTAGTCAAGGTGGAGTTATGGAGGAGCATGTGAAGACGAATTTTGAGCCAGTGGAGATTGTTGGGTTTGTGGCTCAAAATTGCATAAATGAATTTATTTTTTTACTTTGGAAGACTGAAATTTGTGAAAGAAATTGTGTCTCATTGTGTTTATATTTTAGAGTTAATATTGATTTGATAACTGTTTGTAAGTAAGTGGTATAATTATTGTTCAACAAGGAATTGGGTTTTCAATACTTTATGGGTTTGGTTAGAGAGGTAGAGAGAGAAAATAGATATTGTAGAGAGAGAAAAAGTGAGTTGAGTTTGTAAGAAAAGAAAAAATGTGTGATAAAATTTTGAAATAAAAATAGTGGTTATTCGCCAATGGATGTAGGGAATTTGTCGAGTCACATAAATCTCGTTTTTACTTGTGTGTGCTTTTATTATACTATTTTGCCAATTGTGTGTGTAAAATCCAAACAATTAACATTGCATTGTTGATGTATCACTTGTGGTGTTGTTAACCGTAAGGATTAACGTGGTATCACTTTCGCATTTGGATTTCGGTTTCGGGTTAGATCTCCCTTCTTTCCTTATTTTCTTTTCATTTTCTTCTCATGGTTCGGGTCTTTAGAATTTGGGGCGAGACAATTTTGAGAATCTTTGATTGATAATTTTATGGGATAATTCCATAAAAATGGGGTTTTTGGGGAGTCAAAGGACAAAAAAATTAAGTAAAAATCAAATTTTCCAAATTAATGGAATTTTATGAAAGTCTGACATGGACATGGAAAATTATATATGTCATCTTTTTATTCCCAAAATATCCTTTTATTATTGTTATGAAATTATATGCTGCTAACCCTCTCATAGAGAGAGAAATTCATCTATGACAACCCTTCTTCTCAAACGAACAACCAACAATCCCATCTCCCATCTCTCTCTTTCACACACCTAACAAGGAAACCCATTTTTTTTATAAAAAAAAAAATAGCAAATCTTTTTTCTCCCCTTTATGTTCCCTCTAAAACATCTTTTCCTCCAAACCCGATTTAAACTCAAAATCTATATCAAGACAAAAGCAAAATCAAGATCCAAGCTAAGATTCAAAAACCCAACACGAAACATCTTGAAAAAACCAACACAATCCTTTGTAATGGTCGATCCACGACTCGACAATACAAAAGGTTGATGCAAATGCTTCTGGATCCACAAAAAATCTTCAACTGGGTCTGTGAAATCCAAAACACACCATAAAAATTGGAATATTCACAAATGAGAATTGGGCCTTTCTCCATTTTTCTTGAAGGTTTACAATATCAAAGTAACAAATATCTACCTTTCAAAAAAAAAAAGAAAAAAAAAAAGAGTAGCAAATATCTCTTAATTTCTTGGGTTTGGTTGGACATGGCGACGTTGGCGAGGGCTTGGGCGTAGCTTCCGACAGTGTTGTAGGCCATCCTGGCTTCGCTACGTCGTTTTCGGTGATTTTGACGACGTGTTTTGGGAGTTTGAGGAAACAGGAGATGCCAGAAAAGTAAAGTTTGAGAGGATTGGCAGATATGTGTTTCTCTTCTCTTTGTGTATATGAGAGGGGTAGTAACATAATTTTATAACAACAATACAAGGGTATTTTGGGAATAAAAAGGTGATAAACAGTAATTTTCCATATCTACGTCAGACTTTCATAAAATTTCATTAATTAGAAAATTTTGATTTTGACTTCATTTTTTTGTCCTTCGACCCCAAAACTTCATTTTTTATGGAATTATCCCTAATTTTATTCCTAAACTTAGATTCAAGTCAACTATCTAGTGTGTCTAGCCTTCTAGAATTAGACACTAAAAGCATGTATGGAGTTGCTTTTTACCAACTCAAATTAAAAGTGCTCATAGTTTAAAAAATATGTTTGAAATTTTGTTTTAAAACAAAATAATGACTCGTTTTGCATTGTTGTTGTAATAGTTTATCAGCAAAGTTGACATAAACTTGTTAGTAAAAATAATGTTAGGTATTTGGAATACATATCATGAAAAGTACTTTTTACAATTAAAGTACTTTTATATTTGTTTTGTAATAATTATTTTTTAAACAATTCTATAATTAATTTTACAGTATTGCACATTGAAAAAGTGTTATTGTATTTGATGGTAGTATAGCTTTATAAGAGAATGGAATAAAAAAAAATAAAATTTGATGAAATTGTCTAAGAAAAAACAAATACCTAAAATATAGACACTTTAGTTGGAACACAATTTTAAAAATTAAAATTTTAGGATTCATTCAAAGCTCAACTGAGTTAAAATATATACCATTTAAAATTATTTATTTATTTTCTTACCAACACTTAAAATCAAATTTTAAAAAAATAATAATGATTTTAAGTGGATCAACAAACAAAATGAGTTATGTGCTTAAATTTTGACAACCATTTCTTATAGTTAAAAGCTATTTTTTTTTTCTTCTTAACTCTTAAAAATGTTTTAGGCCAGTGTAACAACCCACTTCATCGCACATTTTTACATTGTTTGTTCTTGATTTTTATCACAAAAGGTTTCATACCATCTGAAAATATCATTAGCGCATATAAGTACTTAACCTTACTCTCGGCAATGTGAAATTGTATACCCATAATCTGACGACATGATAGTTTGCTAGTACTTTGCACCCACTCACGCACCGTCCGCCCATACGGTCACCACATACAAATGTTCTACAAATTTAAGTATTTTTTTTTAAAAGACAAGGTTATCCATTTTACTTTTCAAAAAAAATAAAAAAGCCCTCGTTTCATCAAATCAATAAAAGAATGCTATTGTAAAGTTAGTATTGGAAGTGTTTCAAACAACATTGTTTCTCAACGCTAAAATAAGCACATTTAACCAGGAAATTGGTTTAATATCGCCAAACACTATTCCTCTTTCTAACAAATAAACAATTAAACCTTAGTCATTGAATTTTGAGTGAATTGCCAATGAAGACAAAGCCCTTGTATATAGAGAGCTTGGTGTCTATTCGAGTAGACACGAATATATATGATTCCGAATGGTTCATTTTTAATTATTTTTAATCACAACCTTATAATCAAACGGTTATTTTCACGTAACTTTTTGAGAATTAATCGAAATTCAACTTTCAACGGTTTGTGTATTAAATTTATAGATTAGATTTAAAATTAAAGAAAAAATAGTTTAAAATTTAAACTAATATATTTTTTTAAAATTTCAGATTCAAAGCCCCTAATTCGTTGCACCTCATTAGTATTATTTTTGTTAAAATAAAATTTTGCCTGAAATCCAATTATCTCTGATACGTTGTTCAAAAATTCAATTTGTGCCGGAGTTTAATTCAACAAGTGGCTGACGGGGTGAAAAATTTCAAATTTGGGCTCGCAGAGTAAAAGGACAAAAAACCGCCAAATATGAAAAAAGCGTACGAAATTCAATTTCAAACCAAACAATCTCCACCGGCCATTCCATTTTCAAATCGACGGTTCACATCCACGATCCAAGTCCCTCGAAACCGACCAATTAGAGTCCACATCAAAACGCCTATATAAACAAATCCACATCTTGCTGCGTTTCATCAGCAATCACCAAAGCCAAAAGTTTATCAGCTTTTCAGTATTTCTGTTTCCACTTTCTTTCTCTTAACTTTCACTCACTCTCTCTCACATGGCGCCCAAGGCAGAGAAGAAGCCGGCGGAGAAAAAGCCCGCAGCGGAGAAAGCTCCGGCGGAGAAGAAACCCAAGGCGGAGAAGAAGCTGCCGAAGGAGGCGTCTTCAACCGACAAGAAGAAGAAGAGGTCGAAGAAGAATGTGGAGACCTACAAGATCTACATCTTCAAGGTCCTGAAGCAGGTCCACCCAGACATCGGCATTTCCAGCAAGGCCATGGGGATCATGAACAGCTTCATCAACGACATCTTCGAGAAGCTGGCTCAGGAGTCCTCCAAGCTCGCCAGGTACAACAAGAAGCCCACCATCACCTCCCGGGAGATCCAGACCGCCGTCCGGCTTGTGCTTCCCGGTGAATTGGCTAAGCATGCTGTGTCTGAAGGCACCAAGGCTGTCACCAAGTTCACCAGCTCTTGAAAATTAGGGTTTTTAGTTACGATTTGTGCTGAATCGGTTGTTATCTGTAGTTGAATTAGGGTTTCAGATGTAAAGCTTTTGCTGTTTTGGCTAAGTTTATTGTAACTTGTTATCAATGATGAATTGAATTTCGATTTCAGTAACCAAGTTTATTTGCCCCTTTCATTTGGTGCCCTAAATTTGCTACATTCGAAATTGTTGGAAAAGTGAACATAACAATGGCGCATTTTAGCAAGGTTTTATAAACGCCGAACATTGATCAGGGCACTGCTGCATTTTTTTTCATTTATTTAAACAGAAACAATATTTTTTTTTATGGTCTATTTGTGTGATTTGAATAATTGCGCGCTTTAGCCTTTTTGATTTAAACCAGTGGCGGATTTTAGTTAGAACTTGATCTTTTTGAAACATTAGAACCCCTGGCTTCGTTATGGATGATTTGAACCAGCGGCGCATCCGAGCAAGAACTAGTCTCTGAGAGGACGAACGAAGATTGTGTGCGTCATGCGCTTTCTAGATTTGGACATCTTGGGTCCCTCACTAAGTGGCCCCACATCTTGGCTCCCTCACTTGTCTGTCTCCGGTACAAGTTAGCGAAACTTTAGATGTCGACACTAAAGTACGCAACAGGGTCTTGGCACCCTTACTTACACGCGTGGCCTTATCCTTAACCGCACAAGTGCGCTCTCTTTCTGTTTCGAGTCCAAATCCACACACACAAACACACACTTTAAGCCGAAGCTTGTTACAGAGAAGACATGGCATTAGCCTCTTCTTCTTCCACACATTTGTCCTCTCTTTCATTTCAGTTCCAAAACCCTAGAGCTTCTCTCTCTGTCAAACATGTTTTCTTGAGTTTAACCTCCTCTCCTGACGAATCCTCCAAACCCTCGCTTCGCATTTCGGCCGATTCTGCCCCGAAAGCCCGATTCATCGGGCGACGGAGCGAGTCTGTGTCTGTGAGACAACAATTAGAACGGCCTCTAAGTAATGGTTATGGAGTTATCTGTTTTGAATCTATGGCTATTGTTGAATGATTGATTGGTATTTGCAACAATTTGACTGACCGTTGTGTTTGGTTGCAGGAGAGTATATGAGTTTACCTGCAAGTCAGTACTCTGTTCTGGATGCTGAAAGGATTGAGAGGGTTGATGACAACACCTTCAGGTGTTATGTGTATAGGTTGAAGTTCTTTGCTTTTGAAGTGTGCCCTGTTTTGTTGGTTAGAGTTGAAGAGCAACCAAATGGTTGTTGCATTAACCTCTTGTCCTGCAAGGTATGTGTGTGTGTTTTCATTTTGCTTAATTTGTTGTATTAGACTATCATTTTGTGACGATGCTTATTAGCATTATTATGTTGATCAATGGCAGCTTGAGGGCTCACCAATTGTGGTTGCACAGAACGAGAAGTTCGATGGTAAGGGATTCATTTAGTCTTATATTTTTTGTTGCAGTATGCTACATTCAGGAAAATGCATACTTATATTTGTATTACATGGCGAAATTGTACTATTATACCATAGAAACATTAGTTGGATGAATTTGGTACTCTATTGTTATGAGGAAGAGCTTTGATCTTTACGAGTCAAATAAGATGTATATAGTCAAATGTCTACCATTGTCCAGTGGAAGGCGTTGGGCAAATTGATTTCAAGAGCTCTTCGTTTGCAAGTAGTGTTCAATTGATTATGCTTACGGACTATCATTGTCATGGCAGTAGATCTCAGGGTTGATGGAACTATAATTTGGTTCTTTTTGAGATGGATGTTTATACACAATGAACTTGACTAGAACCGTGTCATGTATATATCATTAGTAGTTCTGATTATGTAGCTAACTGAATATATATATTTTTCCTGAATTAGTGAATGGAACTATAATTTGGTTCTTTTTGAGATGGATGTTTATATACAATGAACTTGACTAGAACCGTGTCATGTATATATCATTAGTAGTTCTGATTATGTATCTAACTGAATATATATATTTTTCCTGAATTAGTGAATTTTAATTAACTTCTGACTAAATCAAGTTGATCATTAGTGTATTTCGTTGCATTCAAAGTTTTACCTGGTTGTGGATACTATTTTTGAAGCTAAGGATTTACAATCTGCTTGATAAATTCCACCTCCTGGAAGATTCCTACTCTCTGGGTTTTTTGTGTGCCCTTTTTTTTCATTGGCTTGTTTATCCTCTCGCATTTACTTAGATTCTGAATTTTTTGACCTTTAGCCTTCAGGCACTGGCCTCTCTCTCTCTCTCTCTATATGTATATTTATATATATAAAATCCTAGTTTGACCAAGGAAGTAACCCAATATTTGCGATTCTCTGCTGTCTCTCTCTCTGAATCCTAGTTAAACAAAGGAAGTAAGCCTAACTTTGAGTCCTTGTTAAATAATTTATCTCTTTGCTGTAACTTAGAAACATCTGGTTGCTGTGATGCTACAATCATCACAATTGCCAATCTGCTGGGTGTGGCAGTGTGACACATCATGCGAGGAACTGAGAGGGGAGAAATCCTCTATAGTACTTGGCAATTGCAAAGTAGTTGAGGAGTTGGACTTTTGCTGTGTGCCATCACTTATAATGGACTTGTTTGTCAAAGTGAAAAACTTGACATAAGAGTTCCTGTAATGAACTAATGATCATTCCGTGTCATTTGGTTCTGAATTGAATATGTAATGCTTTTTCAGGAGTGCTTTGACATTGATTTGGTGTGGGCATGCAGCTTCTATGGTGAATATAATATCGTGCAATACGAATCGGAGCAACTCATTGACCCAGCAACTCACTTCAGATGCAGTAATTGAGGTGGTGATTGTTCATTATGTGGCACATTGCTTTATAAATGATTGTGGATTTTTCTCACGGTTGCTGTTGGCATTGTTATGTGAACTCCAGGTCAGCATTGAGGTTCCCTTTGCATTTCGAGCAATTCCAGTACAAGCCATTGAATCGACTGGCACCCAAGTCCTCGAACAAGTATTGAGGATTATGCTTCCTCGCTTTATGGCACAGGTTTGTAAAAACATCTTTTTTAATTTATTTCTCTGAAAGCAGAGTAACAACAAAGAACCTTGTAGGCTTGTACTAGGTAATTTAGTCTTGTAGCATTCGCAAACTCCGTTAATTTATTATATAGCTGTTATAATTCTGTCACATCTTCATAATAAGCTGATGTTGTGATTATTTTTGTGCTTTATAAATCTGAAATATCTGATTATTTAATTTAAATTTTAATATGTCCTGTGAAAATGGTGACATCAACAAAATTGAAATATATTTTTTGTCAGTTTATGGAGTTATAACTTAAGGTTCTTGGCATCTTGCTGATGGTGTTGGATTATTTTTGTGCTTTATAAATCTGAAATATTTGATTATCTAATTTAAATTTGAATATGTCCTGTAAAAATGGTGATATTGACAAAATTGAAATATATTTTTTGTCAGTTTATGGGGTTATAACATAAGATTCTTGCTGAATCATGAGAATTTACGTTTCACATGTGATAACCTGTCAAATCCTGTCTCCGCAACATTTTTTTACCTGATACCTACTGTATTTGCTCTAAAATTTCTCCTCCTACCTTTTACCTCCTCTCTCCTCAGGCCTCATTGTTTCCTGAAACTTTTTTTTTTTGTGGGTTTGGCAAATAAACTCACCCTATGGAGGAGAAAGTATTAAATACCCCGGGGGTATGGTACCCCCGAGTTGTCCCAACCTTGGATGTGGTGGGGCCCACCACCACATCCATGATCCAATGGCTCCCACTGCCCGGGGTACCATACCCCGGGGTATTTAATACTTTCTCCCTATGGAGAATTGAACCCTCAATCTTTGGGAGGTAGTGGTGAACTGATGCTGTTGCAATGATGTGGTTTTAAAATGTGAAGCTGAGTTCAACCAGGACAAAAACGTTGGTTGAGGCTGTGAGAAATGATATGATGGCATATGAATATATGATTTACTAGAAAAGGTGGTCTACTCTCCTAGATCTAGAATGAAAAAAAAAAAAATCCAACTTCAACCAGACCCCAAATGTTTAGGGTAACCTTGCATGATTCAATGCAGGTTGCAATAAATATGAAGCTCACACCTATCTGTGGAGAGAAAATCTCAATAAATGTTCTCCCAACCAGGGATTTAACCCAGAACTATGCTTGAATCGTTTATGCAAGAACATTACTAATTTATGTTCTCCTTAATTATATGTATGAACATGAAAATTTCGAATACAATTAGGGGGCAATTCTCAAAATGTTTAAGAAGGCACTTGCCTCTATGGAAAAGGTTTACCTTTCAAAAGTAGTTGAATGTAATTCCACCGCGTTATATAGTCTTTGATTTCCTCTTCTTATTTCCTCATTCCAAGATCTCTCTCTTTAACCTTGTAATTTTGAGGAGCATGAGTTTTGGAACAAAATAGTAAAGTCACGGTAGCATGGATGACGTGAAAGATGTTTTGCCTTTAAATTTTGACATAAGATGATGGAATTCTGTTGCTGTTTTTTTCTTTCTTTCTTTCTTTCCCCACTGCTCCTGCTGAGTTTTAGAACAAATTCTATTGCTCATATCAACAAAATGAGTACTTTGAAGTAAATAATAGGGTGAATTGCAAACCCACCCAACACCATGCCTGGGAACTATGCATTGACCAGCATCTAACCCCTTCAACCATTATTTTGACATTTAACCCCCTAAACTATCCCGTTTTGTAGCAAAATCCCCCTTGCCGTTATTCAGTTATTGTGCCGTTTAAAAGTGAATGGTACAATAGGCCAAACTTGTCACGTGACCAATAGTGAAAATGACAAAAATACCCTTCTGACCTTTAATACCAATTAAAAAGCCCTAATGTCATCTTCTTCCCCAAAACACCCTCTCTCTGTCTCTCTATTGCTCTCTCTCTATACATCACTCTCTCTTTATGCGCGCGCGCAGACATACATACATATATCTATAGCTCATGCTCTCTCTCTCTCTCTCTCTCTCTATGTATGTATATGTATGTGTATATATGTGTGTGTGTGTGTGTATGTATGTATGTATGTATGTATATACATGAAGTCAGTTGTGAGCTAAATTTCACAACCTAACTTGGAGAATATTCTATATTGGGTTTGCACCGTGAAGTGGGTTTGCAACCTATTGGGAGCACCGAGAGGTGGGTTTGCAATTGAAAAGATGGTGTCCGTCTTCAAATTCTTAATCTCTTTGAATCTATTGTTCAGACTATCTTCCTTATTCATTTCAAATTTCAATTCAGTTTGCTGGCCATGCCTAGAATTTGACAGCATGACGTGGTCTAGAAATTTGACAAAAGAATTTGATGGAGGATCAGCTTCCTCTTTCTCTCTGTCTACACACACACACATATATATATTGGCCATACTTGTGATTCTAAACCAAACCAACACACATTTCCCATACTTGTCGATTTGTTTTCAAATTTCCATTGCTGATTACTCTGATCAAGTTTAATTACGGGGCATGCACTATTCCTTATCTGTTCCCTTCGGACAATTCAGAAAGTCTACCCCCACTGAGGTCTCCTTGATCAACCTCTTCTTCAATTCTATTCCCTCTTACCATTTAACACCTTCTTTTACGTTTACATTTATTCTTTCAATTGCGCAAATAGCTGGTAGTATATTATTGTTAAGATTCTTATTTATAGCAGCATTTATGAGTAATATAAATGAATATTTAAGTTATTAATTAATTTTAAAACCATTACATTATTGATAAATTGGGTTTCACAGTTCATGCATGATATGTTTTGATTTTCGGTTGGTAAATTGCATTAAACCCCCCTCTAATTATGCATAGGTTGGGTGAATTGTCAATTTCTGATTGGCTGTTGAGATTGCTAGCTTCCACATAATCCGCTTAAGTGAATAATTTCCAAAATGTCAAGATTCAATTCATGGTCAGGGTAGGAATCTTCAACCAATCTGGTCAACCTCCGGAGGAAGACCTAAAGGAAAGAAGGGTCGGGAGAACCAGTCCCGGTTATTCCCTCCGCTGTTCAAGAGCTAGGGCCAGTAATGCTCTGATCAGAATCTTTACAGCGGAAGTGACTGGAGGGCTGACAAGATGGGTAAAATTGTCTTTTAACATTTCCGTTAACGGCAGCTGACAGTTATGTCCTTAAGTGTACATTTTTCTTAGTTCAGACTTAAGGGGGTTAGTTGCAAAACCCTAATAGTGTTTTTTTTTTTTTTTTTTTGAAATTAAAATATATTAAAAGATAGTGTTAGCAGTAATGTAACCAGACTTTACCGCGACTTGAGATTATCTGCTTATAGTTGTTGGGTGTGATAATTTGGTAAGGAGGCTGGAGTGCTGGACTGACATAGATGTCTAAAAGAACAAAAAGAATTGCCACAACTTAGGACAGTTTGTTCACTTTAACTGAAAAAATCATCCCACAAAAAATTTAGGACATTATGTAACTGGCAAGATTCGTAAGAGCTGTCTAAGAGAAAGATATCACTCTCTGGTTACATCATGAAATTGTTGAGCTTTGGTTTAATCAAGTACCTGAGTAAAAGAAACAAGCTGTAGCACTTCTGCTAATAATATTGCGTTGCATTAATGGTTTGATCATGAGGGTGCAATACTTAACATAGAACTTTTAGATTGTAAGCAATTTCTTTTAGCTTCATCAGTAAGATGGAAAGACCATTTTGCTGGGAAAGAGTCAATCAATGAATACTCTAAGAAGTTTTAGGAAGCAAAACTTAAACATCCTGACTAGTTAAAAATTGAAATTAAGGTTGAAAGGTGGTGATCCCACCCATTTATATCCTGCTTTTCCATGAATACTTGACACATTTTTGAGCAAAGGACTGCTTCTAGGTTGAATTCTGTTATGATATCTATTTCTTACCTTAAGAATCTTTTTATGCTCTATTTGGTTCACAGATTAATGAGGGAAATTAAAAGAAAATGCAAAGGAAATCATCATCTGTTTGGTTTCCATGGAAAACAGGGGGAAATGATATGCAAGGGGGAGAAACAGATAATTTCTGTAACTTTCCATGTCACTTTCCTTTTCTTTTTCCCGATTCCAATTCTATATAATCAGAAAACAAAGTATGTGGGATATTATTTTCACTTTCCTTTTCTTTGCCTTTTTTTCACTTGATCATCAAACCAACCAGAGTTTCTTAGAGTTGCTGATATCAAATTAGGATGGAAAAAGTTGGTGTACAAGTTCTGTTTGGAAGGGTCGTTTAATAAACACATCTAGGTCTTGTCTGGCATATGTGCGCGCGCGATTTTCTGTCAGGAAGTTTCTGCACTCAAGGGTTAGAAAAGCTCCGTTCAAGGCCTTCTAAGGAAAAAAGAGAGAATGCAAGATAGGCTAATGAAACATAACTAATACTCTAATCTGTGTGGATGGGATTTGTCATTTACAATGATAGATTTCTCCTAGTTCATTTGCTGAGTGTTCATTTGTTATAATATCTATATGCATGCCTTTGATACACCAGACTGTAAACATTCTTCTAGAAGATCTAGGAAATTTTGTTACTAGGTACGAAGTGGTTTTTTTTTTCTTCACTAGAGCACTGTTGTTTGTGCTTGAAGGGGCCTGACCTGCTTATGGGTTTTAAGTTCGGGAGCAAAACCTTATATTAAACTTTGCCTTTTTCTTTTTTTTGTTTTTCTCTCCTCTTCTCCAGTTCATACCATTTATTTACTTAAAATGTTTTGGCTAAGATTCTGTTGTGGTGGTTGATTTTGGTTGGCTTTCTATGAGGTTGTTTTGTGCTCATTTTGGATATTTCTGCTCTGGTAATATATATATTTTTTGTTTCCTTTTGTGGTTCTGCAGCTAGTAAAGGACTATCAAGCATGGGCTTCAGGCGATACCTCAAGGCAGGCTCTTGGAACAGGTGAGATTTGAGATTGCAGAAATGGGCTAGTCTGCCAATGTATTTGATTTATTGGCTTCTTCATTTATCTGTTTGTTTTGTACCATTGACACCGATGTACCGCTACTACGTACGTTCCCTGGCTTTCTTTCATTTAGAAGAAAAGCCAAGAAATCTTATTTAAAAAGCAAATATTTTCAAACTTGTTTGAATCAGTTTCTTTCATCATTGCTACCACTCCCTGACATATTTTCTGCCGGTCCACTCTGTTTGGTTCATTTCATCTAAATGCAGTTCATCAAATTTTTGGACTGATAAAACTTTGGCATGATTGATTGGTTAAAGGTCTCGGAAAACCTCAAGGCAGGATGTCTGCTTTCATTTATTATTTGATGTCGGACGAATTACAATTACTTGCTTGGATGCATCCATTGCTATTTTACAAGATTGCCTCTGCTGCCCAAATAATGTTCTTGTGACTTCAACTAAAATGATGGTTTCACAGAACAGCCAGCAATTAGACAATGAACCATTTCCAGCTACTTTACATTAAGGGTGGCACAAAATGTTGTAACTCAAAATTTTAGGGTATAACTCAGTTTAATTAGTACACCTAATAAGGAAATTATTTGAGATGTTTATTAGATATCTATTTGAGAGTGGTCACTAGTTTGCTTATCCTACTAAATTTTTCTATGATTCAGTAGACTAATGTACATGATGGGATTTAAATGAAGACAGGTAAAGTTTCTTATGTGGAGTATACAAAATTTTCAGCTGAAATACATGAAGGCTGCGTTCGGTTGTATGGAATTGAAGAAAATTTTAGTTCAATTTTGAGTTGCTTTTTTTCAATTTCACCAATTCTAATTTTTAAAGCTCCAATTCCATGCAACCTTGAAAACTGGAATTGGTGGAATTGGAAAACAGTTTAGTTTAAAGTTACACCAATTTTTTTTTTCCTATTCCACCGATTTTTTCCCTTTCCTCCTTTCCTTTTAGTTGGTGTATGCATTTTCACATGTAGGCATGCATATGCTTGTTTACATCTCTATTGTATTTTGTTTACATGCATCAGTCGGAGAGTATTAGAAAAATGGAAATATATAATTTCCAGGTTTGGAAAGCTATTATATTTTGCGAGCGCTGGAAAGCTTGAAAATATCAACAATTTTTTATTTTTTTTTTATTCTCAAAATATAGGAGTAATGAATATACATCCACCAAGGGCAATATTTTTTGCTTTTTAAAGTAGAAGGAGAGTTAAGTTCTCTTAGGATAAACAATGACTCTGAAACAACATGATTGGGGCTTGTTAGGGTTGTGAAGGTATCTCTTACCCAAGTGTCCATGCAACACTCAAAACCCAGACTCAACAGTGGAGTTTCTCAATCTATATTCCAAAGCCAAAAACTCTCAATGCAAGTATCTATGCATGTCAGAAAAAGACCCAAACAAATGGATTGGACCCTCAAGTCATATTAAGGGCAACCCAAAAGAAATTCACATGATCAAAACACAGATCCTAACCCAACAATAATCACTAACCAAGGATAAGTGTAGGCTTCAAGTCATGTTAAGGGCAAAATGTAGGGTTCAAGTCCCACTAGATCCTAACCCAACAATAAATTTTTTTCTTCTTCTCTGGCTTAGGACACATGCAAGATCTCTTATTAGCTCCTTAATTAGGAGAAAAATGTGGGTTCAAGTCCTAACAATGACGGTGGTGTTAAAAAAAAGAAAAAAAAAAGAAGAAGAAAGTTATGGGTAGAAGAGGGCTTGTACTGTTGGATAGAAAAAATAAAATAAAATGAAGCTCATTGTACTTAATTTAGGAGAAATTAGATATTAAAGATGGAGGAATGTAATCCACAAATTTTACTCAATTAACTTAAATCTCTCTCACACACACAGTAGTAACACTAAGAGACAAGAACTACACTAAATTCTGAATACGGTGATGGAAAAAGTAGTGATTTGCTCCACAATGTAGGGCATGGGTATCTTAGCAAATCTATGCATGTTCCCCTATTCATTCACTTAATGCCAAGACAGAAGAGAGCAAGACAGGAAGAAGAGGCCCCCAAGTGATCACCAAAAAAGTGGCATGTCAATGTGCCACTTATAACCTATTAAACCATTCCTATATATATATCTATATATATATTTTCTCCAAGGGGCAAATTAAACTACTTATGGCCACATTTTGATGTCTTCACTTTATTTCAAGTTTTTGCCTAGTAATCTTTCTTACTGGCAGAAAAAAAAAATGTGAGATGCCAGGGGTGAGATAAAGAAAAAAAATTAAAAACTTTTTCAATAATAATTAGTGAATGGAGTGAAATAGTTCTATAGAAATATCCAAGATTTGCGAGTAATTACACATATTCAGAGTTAATCTTCAAAGGGTATGCTTGGTTTGTAATTCTGAAAACAATTATCAAGAATCCGAAAAAAAAATAGTTTTTAAAGAACAATAAATTCATTAATTTTTTGAACATTATTTGTCCATTTTAACTATTTTGCCAACAATGATATTACATCTTATGACTGTTTTTTTCCTGGTTCACATGAATCTTTCAAACGCATATTTAATGCGCAGACAGCTAAAGCTTACTATTTTACCTACCATGAGAAATTTTGATACAAAGAATCTCAATCCTTTCATTACCAATCAAATTTCATTAGCATTTATAGTCGGTGATCATAAAGCAAGAGAATTAATAAGGTCACCACTACACTATCTCTTTCAAATATCACTTGTGGTCCCACCATAAAGTAATCAAAACTTTTTGTATCACCATTAACTACATGGAAAGGCCAAATGTTGAAAAATCTCAACATTAGATATGGAGAGCTCAATGCAAGAATTATTATATGAAATTTGAAAGAAATCGGAATAATAATAATAAATGAAGAAATGAAACAAAAAGAGATACAAGGCACAGAGATCAAACTTAGCCATTTTTATTATTTTTCAATCAAGTTATATAAGTTTGGATCACTCGCGTAACAACGGATCTAATGGTCTCTAGTTCAGATGGTATAAGCTCTTCCTCCCCTCCAAAAGGGAGGTTGAATGTTCGAGCCCAAATTGGATAAAATAAGAAAACTTTGAGTGTTCGAGTCCAAAGTGGGGACAAAATATGGGTGTGTACGCGTATTTGTTTACTATTAAATAAATAAATAATAAAAAAGAATACATGTGAGCTTGAGCTTGAGCTCTGCCTAAATTGGATCTCAACCCATGTCATATGTCGGGATCCACCACAAAATGTTACTCCTATTTCATTTTAAAAAAGGTTATGTTGTTAAGTACTGGGTTGAGCCCAACTTAGACATTGGGCTGGCCCATAATCGGAAACAAATATATACTTCCTCAGCAGTGTCTAGAAGAAGAGTTGGGTAGAGAGATTAGCTTAAACCTTCATCCATCTTTGCCAATTTGCACTCTACTTATTCATCTCTCTCTCTCTCTCTCTCTCTCACACACACACACACACACACACATTGATGACTTGCATATTATGAAATTAAATTTACAGATACAACTACTTTTGTTCATGTTGATAAAAAGAAGGGCTCATGTTTAAGAAATGTTGTCATCAAAGAGTAGTTTAGGGACAAACTTTCAATGGCTTTAAAAAAAATTTCCCCCAAAATTTTTAGAAAAAAAAAAAAAAAATGACATCGAGATTGAAATAAACCATCCCTCTTGATTCCAGAAGCAAAATAAAATGTTTTTACTTTTAAAGGATTATCTTCATAAACACTATGGACAACCTCAACAATTTAATTAATTAATCACCAGCCATGGTAATTATAGTCCAATGTCAAGTATTATATATTTTTTAATTTCAGATTTAGAAAATGACTCACAGACATATGGATATAATAAGAATTTTCATCTATCCATGATGATCATGTGACAATGACAATTTTGAGAGGACACTGATAGTCTTTGATTGTTTTAAAATGATTAGCAAACTAATTCATAAAGTCATTGTATGCATGAATCTTTTAGCTACAAGTTTTGTTTTTATAGAACTACTTGTAAAAATAATTAATTAATCTTTGATGACCCCCCAATTAATTATTGAATTCTTGGATCAAATTATTGAAATTAAATCTCCCATTCAATATATTTGGAAACAAAATTGACAAATTCCCTTCTACTTTTGTAGTGATTAGCACTCTTCTCAAACATGAACATGAATATATATATATATATATATATTTGGTTGGTAATGTCTCTCTTCATTAAAGATTTTGTATTGACTAGGCCTAGGCTAGGTATTAGTACAATGTTAGGTTAACTATTTTCATATATACCACTTAAGCATAACCTAACTTACATTAGGTCACTGTATGATGAGATAAAAAAAGGGAAGGAGAAAAGGTACATGTTTCATCAGGGAAGCAGATAACATGTGCATGATGTTTTTGTGACCAAAAGTGAAAATAGTAATGGACAAGAGGTTTAGGTCAACATGCGTTACGATGAAACGCTAAGCTACAAATTTATGTTGATGATATTATGTTCGTATTACTGGCCTATGTGCCTTCACGTACAACGGAACAAAGAAAAAATAACAAACATGATTGAAAGAAAATTATAGTTTTTTTTCCCCCCCGACATGGATTGGACTCATCAATACATGGACTACACATTTCTATCATTTTAATAGTATATTGAAAATCTATCAACAACTTAGGATTCTATCTCATGCCATCACTAGGCCACCACCCATGAAAAACCCTAGAAATCAAGCAATGATATAGAGAAGTGACAATGTGATTAATGTGTATCCCAAAGATGCCACCATTTCTGACCTAGTTATTCTATGTGGTAGACCTACCCCATGTAACTCCAAGAGTGCAGTGTTGTGATGGAAGAAATGATATTCTGGCTTCTTGGAGATGGAGTTTTGCAAAAACCCTAGAAAATGATATGGGGGAGAGAGGGGACAACATGCATGCAGGTGAAGGAATGAATGACAGATAACCTAACATAAACTATATATATAGTGTATACACTGTTTTTCAATCCCAATGCCTTTGTCTTGATGCTAATGTACTTATATATATAAATCTCATTGTGTTATGGCCATACACAAGTCATACCTAATCATGAATGTTCTATCACTTTTTTATTTTTATGTTTATACAGATAATTATGTCTATTAATTCAAGGATTTTCTT